TCTCTCTCTCTCTCTTTTTTTTTTTGAGACAGGGTCTTGTTCTGTTGCACAGGCTGGAGTACAGTGGTGTAATCTCTGCTCATTGCAACCTCGACCCCTGGGCTCAAGCAATTCTCCTGCCTCCAGAATAGCTGGGATTATAGGCGCCCACCACCATGCATGGATAATTTCCGTATTTTTAGTACAGATGAGGTTTTGCCACATTGGCCAGGCTGGTCTTGAACTGACCTCAGGTGATCCACCTGCCTCGGCCTCCTAAAGCACTGGGATTACAGGTGTGAGCCACTATGCCCAGTCCCTTTTACATGACTCACAGTAGTTTTGGGAAAAATAACAACTCAGATCTGTGATTGACTGCTCTGACACCTCAGTTGTGCCTCACTGTCACAGGTGTTTAAACTGCTTGGTTTAAACTGCAGAGAACGCTGTCTGTGACCTCCAAGACCCCCGCCTGTACCCAGTGTGCAGCACACAGACTGGGTGGGAACATCCCACCCACCGCTCTAGTTAGGCGGCCCCCACTTCTCCAGTGGTGAGGGCAGGGATGCAGAGTTCATCCACGCCTAAACTGACCACGTGCAGCATCTCCTGGGCAACGTGCTAGGTCCACTACTTGCTCCTGGTGGTGACGTGTGCCTGTGAGGCCTTATTCTGCTGCCATCATTTTGCAACCGCGAGGAGGTCAGGCCCAAAAGGAACCAGCATAGAGAAGCCCAGGAAAGCCCAGGAAAAGGCAGAGAAACGCTCACACTGCACAGAAAGCTCCCACCTATGTCAGTTTTCGGCTCACAAAGCCCCTTTGGTGAAGCTATTTGAGCTGGGATTTTTGCGCTTGCATCCACAAGCATGCCAAATGATGCATACCCTTCCTGCCTAAAGCCTGCCCGACTCTACAGGGCAGCCCCTGGCTGCACGAGTGTCTGCCCTGCTAGCTGCTTTCCCAGCCTGCCTCTGTCTGCTCCCTCTACCACCTTACTCCACACTGTCTCACTCAGCATGATCAGCCCCTGGGTCATCCTACCTGCCTTCAGAAGTCTCCTCCAAAGCACCTCTGACCTCCACCTGCCAGGTAGAATTGTCTGCTTTTTCCCTTTATGCTTAATATAGCCTGATTATTTTTCAATTATACTTTTTTTTGGAGACAGAGTCTTGCTTTGTTGCCCAGGCTGCAATCAGTGCAGTGGCACAATCTCAGCTCATTGTAGCCTTGAACCCTGGGCTCCAGCAAACTTCCCACCTCAGCCACCAAACAACTGGGACTATAGGCATGTACCACCTTGCCTGGCTTCAATTATATTTCTTATCACATTTATTATAATGATTTGCTTGCATGTCTCTGTGTCCTACCAGCTACGTGAGGAAATGAGACCTGACCTCAGCACAGGGCCTGGCACACAGAAAGGACTCACTGAAAGAATACCCCCCACGTGGCACAGAAGGAGGACTATGACACACAAATCCAGGTCATGAGCTTCACATCAAAGACACTGATGTTATCTATGTCACACCATTCTAATTAACGAGATCCTAAAATTAAATGGTACACTAAGGCCGGGCCTGGTGGCACACACTTGTAATCCCAGCACTTTGGGAGCCCAAGGTAGGAGGATCCCTTGAGCCCAGGAGTTTGAGACCAGCCTGGGCAACATAGATATCAATGCTATAAAAAAAAAAAAAAAAAGTAAAAATTAGCCAGGTGTGGTGGTGCATGCCTGTAGTCCCAGCTACTCAGGAGGCTAAGGTGGGTGGTTCACCTGAGCCCAGGAGTTCAAGGCTGCAGTGAGCTATGGTCACACTATTGCACTCTAGCCTGGAGGACAGAGCGAGACAGCCTCTAAAAAAAAAAAAAAAGACAGAAATAAAAGGTATACTTGAAAGCAGATAACTCACAGCAATACCATCCACATACTATATTATAAGCACATTAATGTGCAAGCTATATTTAAAAATGCTAAATTGTATTTTATTAAAAAGGAGGACAGACAAGAAGATGATATTGATATTAGCTATACTGATGGCCAAAGCCTTTCTGTTGAGCATCCTACCACATCTTACTTAACTGTGTTTTGGAAGATAAGGTCTAACGTGTCAAGGTCATCTTCCTTTCCTTTGAACTGAGCCACAGAAGTGATGGCCATGGGGTGTCTGTTGCCTGTGACCAGCAGTGGCCATGCATGGCAAGAGACCAGTGGAAAGAAGGCCAGGCTGCCTCCTCTTTGGAAAGGGAAGATTTCCACCCCCGCCTGCCCCCAATCATGGCCCACCCTGCTCCTCTTAGAGGAGAAAGGGCCGTCACAAGGTAATCACCAGACACAGCCTTTTCCTCCGCTTTTTGTTTCTGTCCCTGACTGGAATGGCAAGAAAAAGCAAGACAGCAGAGGGGACAGGGAGATGCCTAGTACCTGGCCGACAGCAATTCTCAAAGCAGCTGCAGCTCTTCACAGGAGACTGTCATGGGTGTTAGCAGGGAAAGAAAAAAAGCAAAAAACAAGACCCCTCATGTTTCTGTTTACTTCTTTGGAAAATCCTCAATTTCTATCCAAGTACTAAATGAACGAGAATCTTCTTTCCCAGACTCTGTGAGTTTATGGGGAAAAGGTGTAAACCTCAATTTCACACTGAGATACTGACATGTATTTCCCATTTGTTTCTTATATCCATGCTCTTTAGGAGACTAAAATTTCCTTTCTACCACAACCACATCTTTCACTTTTCTTTGACTTTTCTTCCAAGTCAAAGAAAAGCTTTTGACACTCAGGAAAAAATTCCAAGAGAAACAAGGCTCTATTGAAGGGGTGAGGGAGGGGAGCCCTGGTAACAGTGAACTTAGTGAGTGTGTTCTTTAAATTTTGCTGTAATTGTGTATTTTGACAAAGATGACTGTTAAGGTCCTACTATCTAGCTATTTTAATAAAATGCTCCATTTTTCTTCTGAATAAAAAGAAGCACAAATGTATAAAGTATAGTAATAAGAGTCATGTACCCACTACCCAATAAACAAGAATTTATCATCATCTTTGTATTTGGTTATCAAAGACTTCATGCATTAATGACTTCAACTGTATATTTTTTGTATCTTCAAAGTCTCATGGTCTGAAGCTTAAGATCAAAACAAAGAGATGACTACTGACCTACCTGTGGCCACTTTACCCTAATCATACACCAAGCTCATGTCTAGATTAAAAGCTCACGCTCTGGGGACAGGCTCATTGTTGGTCTTCTTCACGGCTATATCCCAAGCATGTAGCACAGTGTCTCACACAGTAGGTGCTCCATGAATGCAGAATGAATAAATGAATGAATGAATGAGTGATGAGTGAACAAAGGGAGAAACAAGCAGACGACTTTCAGGCCCAAATTTCTCACCGTGATTATCAAGATGTGGCCTGAGGCACACCATAACCAGTGTGGGCTTATTTCCATGTGGTGACAATACAAGGGCTTGACTTCTTAAATTGGGAGGTCCCTTCCAGCACCGACACCCTGCATGTTAACATTAGGTGGAATTGGGGGAAGAATATAAGGAAACTGAACTGAGAGGACTATTAGCAGACTATGCTAATAGTCTATGAGAGGACCTGTATAGCTAATGCTATGCTATGAGAGGACCTGTCAGATGAATGAGGAAAAATAAAAATTACTCTGCAGAACAAAGATAGGTAAAAGATATGAATAGGGTGGGGCATGGTGCTCACGCCTGTAATCCCAGCACTTTAGAAGGCTGAGGCGGGTGGATCACTTGAGGCCAGGAATTCAAGACCAGGCTAGCCAACGTGGTAAAACCCCATCTGTACTATAAAAATGTTAGCCAGTGTGGTGGCAGGTGCCTGTAGTCCCACCTACTCAGGAGGCAGAATTGGGAGAATCACCTGAATCTGCAGGTGGAGGTTGCAGTGAGCTGAGATGGCACCACTGCACTCCAGCCTGGACGATAGAGCGAGACTCCATCTTGGAAAAAAAAAAAAAAAAAAAAAAAAAAAAAAAAAAAAAAAAAAAAAAAAAAAAAGATGTTTTCAATAGCAAAATATGAAAAACAATTCAAAGGTACCTCAATGAAAGAAGGAATGGATCCTAGTATCTTTCCACAATGGAGCATCAGAGGGCAGTGAAAAGGAAAGAACCACAGCTACGTGCATCGCCTGAAGACATTCCAACATGTTGAGTGAAAAAGGTAAGTCACAATATAGTAAGAAACGATTTATATATACTTTAAGAATCAGTAAAACTCAAGACTGTCATGTTTACAAATAATAGTTACGGCAAAATCATAAGAAGGGCAAAGAATTAATGACTTCAACTTGACTCTGGGTGCTCAGGGGGCAAACTGCTGTGAGAGTCAGAGGCATTTCCAGACACCCTGGGTATATATTAATTTCAGCTGTGCACATTTATGCTGGTTATAGGAAACACTGTACATTTTACTTTATGGTTAATGTTGAAAGGTAGGAAAAACACAAAAGGCAAACAGGTAAAACCCCCCGAATTTTCTGGCTATAGATTCAGACCCTAAATGAGTCTAAATAACTGGACTTTGTGAAGTTTTTAAACCCTTAAAAAAAAAAAGGGAAGAAATGTGAAGGGAACAACTGGACGAGGTCGGATTTGCTTCCAAGGTGCTGTTCTGAAAACGTTTGTGATTTGCCCATATCCACAGGTCCAAAGCTGGGAAGCTGTAGTGAGGGGTGTTATTTTCTACCACGAACAAAGCTCTCTAAAAAACTCAAATTCCTTCGGTTGCACCAGTCCTGACTTTTCTAAGAACCCTCGATATTCTCAGAATAAAGCTACTGATCTTGCCCAAGTGGCTCTTGCTCCCTCTTGAGCCTTTTATACAGCGTCTGCCTCCGTCCTGTGTTTTGGTTATTGATCATTACAACTTACGGTGATTTAGAGCCTGCTTGGACTGCTACACGGCTTTTAAGGAAATTCAACTGAAGCTCCAAAATAGTCATGTAAAAAACACACCATCAGCTGCCCAGAAAGAGAGCTCACTCACTTACCAGCTGAAACTCGCTCCTCCGGCTGAAAGCCTCCCTGATGCCAGAATCCCTCCAGAGCGCGCTCAGGGCTGGGACATACAGCTGGAAGGTGGCAGGCTCCACGGGCAGCCCCGCCTTGTTCTCGAAGGCCATCAGGAACATCCCATGCTTCTCATTTTCAGAATACTGCCAAGGAATGCCAAGCTTATCTCGTGCATCGACAAGAACCCTGGAGCCCTAAAAAATAAAAGAAATAAAAGGGGATTTAATTGCGTTCCAAAGACTAAACCACAGCAGAAAACCTCAAAATGGGCATCAATTGTCATAACACAGAAAACTCACAAGCTAGCTAATGTGCAGCCAGCGTTTGTCTCTTGGTTTGTTTGTTTTCGTGTGAAATGCCTTAACTCCTAGGAACATAGCATCACCAAGACAGATAACATGGCCGAAGGCAGTGGCTCACACTGTGATCCCAACACTTTGGGAGGCCAAGGAGAGAGGACTGATTGAGCACAGGAATTTGAGACCAGCCTGGGCAACAGAGCAAGACCCTACCTCTACAAAAAAATAAAATTTAATTAAAAACTTAGCTGGGTGTGGTTGTGGCTTACCTGCAGTCCCAGCTACTTGGGAGGCTGAGTGGGGAGGACTGCTTAAGCCCAGGCGTTCAAGGCTGCAGTCATCTATGATTGCATCTCTTTCTCTCTCTCTCT